AAAAAACAAGTTTTGGTCGTATATAGATGTTCTGGTGATACAAAAGCACATATAATTCAAATTTATTCTAAAAATTGCGCAACTTGAAACTTTTCAATCTTTACCATATGTTAAATATATTTTTATATAATGATTTCAATTCGACATATTTAGTGGACATATATATATTATTTTTCTCGTATTTCTTAAAATATCAAATATTTTATCATTTTACAATTTTGACTAAATGTGCAAACTTGTAAAGGAACTTTCCAAGAAATTTTAGTACATTTTTTAAGAAAGATTTTTTACAGTTGACCAATTTTGAAAATAACAAATTGATGATAGTTTAACATATGTGTTTAACAATTTCTTAAAAACTTTGGGCAATTTTGTCATCATTTTTGACTTCGAAATATTATTCGTGTTACAAGAATAATAAACATTAACCACAATAGTCAAAAATTTGTCGGAGTTTGACTAAAGCTATAGGTTGCACTTAAAAGCTCGGATTTGTCGGTTTGTCGGATTTTGATAATTCTTTTTGGAGCTTGTTAAAGGAAATTTTTTAGATTTAATGAACGATAAAACTATAGTAATATTGTTGAAATAAATGCTAAAAATTACAAAAAAACACTTATCTTTGTTTGACATTGAAAACATTTGAACTGTCATCTGAAAAGCCAATTCACTTAAAATTTGAATTTATGTGAATTTTGAGCTTAGATAATATTAGACTATAATATATAAGAAAATTGTCTGCTTTATTATCGCCAAAAAGCAGCTGAGATGTGCCAGAAATTAAAATAATATAAGTTACAGTTAACAATACATGTTTGGCAGATGAAATTATATAATTCAGTTTAATAAATAACGCAATCATTCCAAAATTGCATATACATTATTTTTTTAAACTTATGCATGTCGCATTTTAGTTCACTTTACTAAATAATTTAACACTACAAAAATATTTCTACTTATTAAAAAAATTATTCAAAATTTTGTTTCATGTGTCAAAAATTTATTTGTTTGGCTGTTGGATATGGAGAATTTAGCAAGTTGATCATAGATTGAATAGAGCTCAAATGATCTAGATTTTATAAATTAATTTGCTTAAGATTTGAACATAAACAATAATGTTAATTAAATTATTAATAAGAAAAATGTACTTTAAAAATTATAATTGCCAAAAAGTAATTAATATATCGTACGAGATCGATGAAAATTATAGACTAAATTATTGAAGCAATTATGTTGTGTGGTAAAATTAAGTGTGATTTTGGTCTTTTATCGTAGATACTATATTATTTTTGTTTGAATTTTTTATACTGTTTATGCTTAGACCATAAATGAATCACGAAGGCACAACATCACATAGGATATTATGAAGTATAGAATAAGATATTGAAAAAAAATGAAACTTTTGAATTGTAGACGTAGGTACAGGACAACGTCTGTCGGGTCATCTAGTATATATATATATATATATTGATATAAATTCATATATAATTATATCCTTCTATATAATTTTCTTCACACAATCTGTTGCCGACTCAAATTGTAATTAGTCAGGCAACTTTTACGATATGATGACAAAATGAAACAAATTAAACAAAGTTTAATAATAATTCCAGTTGAAAAGCGTTGCTGTAATAATATATTTGCATTTTGGTGTCATGTATCCATAACAATTTCCATAACAAAGTGTCGGACGAGTGTTTCCCAAAACCGACTTTAATGGGAAACGTCAATCAAAGCTCTCGGAGCTGTGGGAACCATCTAAATACGAGGTTGGACAACTGATGGCGCCACAAGTTTATGCCTCAACTGCAATTGTCACCGCTTGTGGGACCCGCCTACGTTGCACCAGATGTCACCACAATAAATCCTATAGACATCCCCACTCCTTGGCGCTCAGAGTATTTAACGCATAGCGCAACACTGAGAAATTCTCTTTCACCTCAACCATCAAGGAGTCAACAAGTACTGACTTGGGACCACGGACAAGTAGCCAGCCGGAAGAAGCAATATTAAGTTCTAATTTCAATGTAAATATTAGATATATAATAAATAATATTATATTTAATATTTGAATTATTTGAGTGGAATATATGTGGACGATACCCACATAATTGGTGACCCCGACGTGATATTCTGATCTGAAGATGGAAAAATCAGGTAAGAATTCTGATAAAACGCCTTCCAAGACACCGAAGGGTTCGGCATCTGAACCTGCCTCAAATCATGTATCCACAAACGACACAATTAACCGGGTTGCAGTAAAAATACCACCGTTCTGGAACAATAGCCCGGACCTATGGTTTGCGCAAGTCGAAGCGCAGTTTGAAATTGCTTCAATAACAAATGAAAACACAAAATTTTTTTATGTAGTCGCCCACCTGGAAGAGAAGCACGCACGCGAAGTGGAGGACGTGATTCGTGAGCCACCAGCAGAGAATCCCTATTCTCATCTAAAAGAATTCCTCGTAAGCAGACTATGTGCATCAGAAGAGACTAGGATCAAGCAGCTACTTTCTGAGGAAGAATTAGGGGATCGCAGTCCATCACAATTTTTGAGACATCTTCGCTCCTTGGCCGGTCACACAAAAATAGGTGAAACAATATTCAAATCTTTATGGATACAACGGCTGCCTGCATTCGTTCGCGGCATTTTACAAATCCAAAGTGACCTACCTTTAGATAAATTGGCAATCACAGCGGACAAAATTCTAGAAGCTCAACCGTTGGTCCCGCATGTAGGCTCAACAAAGCAGACGCACCACAATCAATCTACCGACATCCACTACAAAAACACCCTGGAGGAATTAACAAAACAGGTACAAAATTTGCAAGAACAAATTCGACGTTTAGGTAGATCAAGATCGAGAAGCAGCGAACGACAAGAAACCACGAAATGCTGGTATCATCAGCAATTTGGAAAAAAGGCGAAAAAATGTCAAAAACCATGTACGTGGAAAACATATAGCAGAATACGCAGCACAAAAAACGAGGAAACCGATCAGTAGTGGCGACAACTGATCATCAATCCGCTAAAGGTCGCCTTTTTGTTTTTGATAATAACAATAACATTAAATTTCTTGTAGATACCGGTTCAGACGTTTCGTGTTACCCCAGGAGAGCCTTCAGTAAATGCAACAAATCAGAGTATGAACTACAAGCTGCCAATGGTACCCAATTCGAACGTACGGACCAAAGAATTTGCGTCTTAATCTCGGGCTGCGGAGACAGTTTGACTGGAAATTCATTATCGCAGACGTGGACACACCAATAATAGGTTCGGATTTCTTAGCATTTTTGGGCTTCTACCAGATTGCCGAAATAAACGCCTAGTCGATGGAAGAACGGGTTACACACCGCGTGTGTAACTCATACATCACACCAAGAAAGCGTTAAAACACTCATACACAAGGATCCGACAATTCAGAAACTACTATCAGAATTTCCAAATCTAATCAAACCACCTGGCACGCTGCGTAAACCACTCCACAGCACAAGACATTCTATTATTACAACGCCAGGCCCACCTGTAACATGCCGTCCACGTCGTCTAGCGCCAGACCGATACCAGATCGCCAAGGATGAATTCGAATCAATGCTGCAAGAAGGCACAGCACGTCGATCAAAAAGTCCTTGGTCTTCCCCATTACACCTGGTCAAAAAGAAAGATGGAGGGTGGCGACCGTGCGGCGACTATCGCGCACTTAATGCGAGGACAGTGCCAGATAGATATCCAGTCCGTCACATTCACGACTTCTCAACAAATCTCCAGGGATGTAATACATTTTCTGTTATAGATTTAGTGAAGGCATACACGCAAATACCGGTAGAAGAAAAGGACGTACCAAAGACAGCAATATCAACGCCTTTTGGCCTGTTTGAGTTTCCATTTATGTCTTTCGGTCTCAGAAACGCTGGA